GTGGATGGCTTGGGCATGGACATATGCTGCATTTGGGGCCAATGTGCCATGAGGAGAAGTCAGCTGAGGATCTTCTAGGAAAGTTCTTAAAAAAGATGCCAGGGCAGAGATGAAGCATTGTATGCCTCAGGGTATTGCCTTCTGCACAGAATACCCAGAACTGTGGCAGCCATTTTAAGACCATAAAGATAAATAGCCTAAAAGGAGCAGCCAACAGGATAGAAAGATGGAAGGAGCCTGGTCCTTGGTGGTATCAGTGAGCTGAATTAACCAGCCTTGGAATCACCCTACCTCCAGAGTTCTGTTATTTGAGATAATAAATGCCCTTATTGTTTAAGCCATTTAAAATTTTAGTTGTTGTCCACAGGTATGCTTTGGGTTTACTTGAGACCACAGATAACAGTAAAAAATTTCATGCGTTTCCAGTGCCTCAGCCACTATTATGGTGGTGCTTCCATCTTAAACTGAATAAAAACCACTCCCCTTTGATTACAGTGTCTATATAAATAGAGTTCTGGGTAAGTCAGAACTCTATTTAAGAACTCTGTTACACTGTTTCTGGGTGTAATAATATAAATAAAAAATAACTTTTGGGTTCTGCCCCTTTCATGTTTGGAACAGAAACTTGCCTCTAGCAATTAAATCTGATAACATCTCTGCACAATAGAGCACTTAGTACAGAATCGGTTGCCCACACCTTTATTGCTCAATAAAAGTTGTTGAATAAAGTTAAAAAAAAAAAAAAAAAGCCTAAAGCATCCTTACTGGTATTACCTCCGTGTCTCACATCTCTCAGCTCTGCTTTCTTTTATGTTGGCTTCAGTGTCAGGCAGATTCTGCCCATCCAGTGGCAAAGTGGTTACTAACAGCTCCATTCTAGAGCTTGGTGACCCTAGTGGCAGAAGACAGCCTCTTTCCTGATAGCTTTGGGAAAATCCCTGAGTTGCCCTCTAATTGGTCCAGCTTGGATCATGAGTTCGTCCTTGGACAAGTCACTGTGGCTGGGGGAGTCTGATTGGCCAGGCCTGGGATAGGCTCACCCCTGGATAGAGGATGTTGTCAGTCCCATCTAAGCCACATGGACAGAGGATGGCAGAGGATGTTTCCTCAAAAGGAAGAAATGTGTTTTGTTACCATAAGAAGTAGACTGGACAGGAAGAAGCAACGGATGCCCACCACTGGAGGGAAGGGTACTTCAGATAGGTGAAACAGCAAGAGCAAAGGTCCTAAGGTGAGATTCTGCACACCTAGGTTAGGGCTGGTGTGTTTGGTTAGGTAGAGGAGTTTAGTTAGGGAATAGTGGAAGATGAGACTGGGGATGGGATTGTAGAATGAAAGCAACAGGGAGCCACTGAAGGACTTTAAGTAAATATATGACACATCAGAACTAAACGTGTAAACCTTGAGAATACTTAAGCACTGTCTGCTTCTGTTATAAAGACGAGAGATTCTTCTGCTTGTATGTGCACCTGATTTTAAAATACACGGTTTAATTTTTTTTAATGTATAGAATTCTTCTAAGTTGCTGTATTAGTTAGCTGTTGCTGCCTAATAGACTGCGCTAAAACTTAGCTGCTTAAAACAACTAACATTTATTTCTCACACAGTTTCTGTAGGTCAGGATTTTGGGAGAGGCTTACCTAGGCAATACTAGCTTGGGATCTCTCCCAAGGTTGTAGTCAGATGTCGGGCGGGGCTGTAGTCATCTGAAGGTTTGACTGGGGCTGAAAGATCTGCCCCCAAGATGGCCCAGTCATATGACTGGAGATAGGAGGCCTCAGTTCATACAGGTCTCCTCTCCATAGAGCTATTCAAGTATCCTCTGGCAAGTGATCCAAGAGGGTGAACCAGAAGCCACACTCCATCATTTCTGCCATATCCTGTTGGTTATACAGGCCAGCCTGATTCATTGTGGGAGGGGAGTACCTAAAGGCATGACTGTCAGAAGACTAGAATCATTGGGAGCCATCTTGGGATATGGCAGCTACAGTTTCCACTGATTAAAGTCAAATACGGTGTGTGTTTAAAATAGGTTATCAAAATTACATTAATAATAAAGGACTATTTGACACTATGCATGAAAACATTAAGACACCCAATAGGTACATATGCAAAATTGCTTCCAATTTCTCCAGTTAAATTCTGCTTTCCCTCTTATTAGTGGTAAGTATAATTCTGCCTCCAGAGATTACTACTTTCCCAGAATGGTGGGGATGTTGACCCTACTGAAAAAAGAGGTTATTGGTGACTTTTTATTATATGTATTTCACCCTTAGTACAATCATTTTAATTTTTGCAATAGTGTATCTATCTGTTCTTTGTAGAGTTATGTGGTGAACATAATATTCTGCTACATTAGCTTAGCCTTACATCGGAAACATTATATTCCATTGGGTCAGTGGACCATAAGTTTATAAATAACTTCATTATATAAGACATTTGAGCAGTTTTCAGTGTTTGCTAATTATATACAATCTTGCTATGGACATTTTCCTCCTCATATCATTTTGCTTGTTGTGTTAAATTATTTCTGGACGATAAACTCCTAAAAGCAGAATCATGGATCAAAATATATGGATGCATTTGTGACTTTTGATTGCGTATATACTGTATGCTTTCCCCAAAGGATTGTGCTTTTATCCTGCCTCAGCAATGAATACACAAACCCATTTCACCACAATCATGCCATATTGGACGTTGTTGGTTTTGTTTATGACTATAAAAATGCGTCGGACTTAAATTTAATTCAGTTAGTATCCAGAAAAGCTAACTGATGACATTGAAATAAGTATGATGAAATGAAACCAAAACCACTTTCTGCCTACTGTTTATCACAACATCTTCCCTTTACAGAGTAGAAGGCATAGAAATGTAGCAGCATGCCCAAATATGAAGAGGACTTGGAGTTTGAAGACCTGGGTTCAAAACCCAACTCTTCTACCACCTAACTGGACAAAGCACTTGACCTCTCTAAGCCTGTTTTTCTCATCTGGGCACACCCTATACTGCTGTTGTTATAAGGATTAAATGAGAGAATGTTATAGAAGCACCTGGCTTAGTGGCATAAGGCCTAATAGTAGAGCCAGAATCTGGCTGGTATGGGACTAAAGAGAAGAATTTGCTAGTTATTTATTATTATTGTTATTGTTGTTATCATCCGGAACCAGAAAAGAGAATTTATTGGTTGCATGACTGGGCAATCCAGCTGTGCAGCAGACTGGGACCTGGATGGATCCAGAGGCATTAGAACATTGTCTTGCTCTCCGTCTCTCAGCTTTGCTTTCCTCTGAGTATTAGTCATGGTTCCAGTAGGAAATAGAAGGCCCACTCAGAAGGGCTGATTGAAGGGAGTTTAATAATGGGTCTTTTTACAAAGACATGAGGGGGATTAAGGGAAACCAGCAAGAGATGATGAAGCACCCAGGGCTTGCAACATCTGGAACCCCTTCCCTCTCCTTGGCCTGAAGGAACAAGGTAAGATTTGACTTTACCAGACTAGGTGAGAGCTATAGTTGTAGGAGAGGAGTGGTGGCCTTTGGTAGAGGAACACAGCTACTGCCAATCCACAACCCAACAGGGAAGAAGCCAGGGGAATATATACCCTGTCCTTTCTCTCCTTCTCCTCCTCTGATCTTCTGCTGGTGCCTCCCATTGCATGTACTCAACTAGAGGGCAAGGGAGTCTGATTGATGCTAACCATAAAACCAACCTCTTGACGCACAGAGCACAACGGAGAAGGGTGGACCTGGAGGGGCAAAGAGGATATCCAGCACACTCTGTATTGCATTCATTCTTGGAAAGGATCTCTCCACATTGCAGCCAGAACCTCTAGTCTCATTTGGTTCTTAGCCCCTGCAATCTTAAAAGGAGCGACAAGGACCATCTATCTCCATTTCCATAGCAACTCTAGAAGGCGTTGACTGGCGCGACATCACAAGAAGAATCTTTAAATGGAAATTGGAGACAGGCTACTTGATACTCCACCCTATTCCTGTTCTCAACAGCCTTCTCCCCATTATCCTGTGGCTTTTTTCCCTTTCAGCTTACTGGTTATCACCTAGGGACTTCATTTAATTCATGTAATGAAAACTCAAGAACAGTGGTAATAAACCAGTGAAGTTTATTTCTTCTTATATATCAAGATGTCCAGAGTAGGGCAGGTCCAAGTTGGTACAGTGGCTTGAGAAAGTTATCAGAGGCCCAGGCTCCTTCACCACCTGCTCCGCTATCCTTAGCCTGTGGCTTTTGGCCTTGTGGCTGAAAGGTGCTGCTCCACTTCCAGCCTCACATCTGTGTTCCAGACTGAAAGAAGTGAAAGGAACTGTCAAGGAAGAAGGGGCAGCTTCTACATCAGGAAGACAGAACTTTCTTATAAGTCCCTAGGACATGTCCATTTCGATCTCGTATGGCAGAACTGTGTCACTTCTGCTGTGAAATAGAAATGGACATGTCACATGGCTGCCCTTGCTGCACAGGAGGCTGGGAAATGTAGTTGTTTGGCTGGGATGATTGTCATTTGGAAGCAATCAGGTTTCTATTAATAAGGATAAAGTGGAGAGTAGATATTGGGTGGAAAACTAGCAGAGTCATGGACCAATGGCACCTGTGTCCCTGGCTTTCACATTTGAAGGTGGCACCATGTTTTGAGGACTTGCATGGACTAGAGGAAAGCCTTAAATACCGTCACTCAGAAAAGAGAAACTGGGTCTAGATCTAAATAACAAAATCCTTCAGAGACAGTTCCAAAAACATTTAATAAGCTTCTACTATGTACACTGTCCTTATATTAGTGCCTGCTCCCAGAAAATGTGCTTACCTAAAGATGACTGAAGAAATATCTTCAAAATTGTTTACATTGTTTGTTGGTATGCTTATAAACCTCAAAAAGGACTCATGCATATTTCATCTAACACAAGCAGTCAACTAACCTCTCTTCCTTTGTCCTACTCAGACACGTGGGCACAGTAAGTGTATAATTTAAATCTCTCTGCTCTCTTTAGAGGAAAAGAACGAAGTTCATTGCCTGTGATTTTCTGACTGAGTGGTTATACAAGTAAGTTGTTCGTGTCTTTGAATATTCAACGACCCTAAGGATTCAGTCATGTTAATTTGCAAGCAGAATGGCAACAATTGACTTGAATTCTTGCTTATTGTTTTCTTGTCACTCAAACCCATGATCAGTCATAATCCAAAGAGGATAGACGAGCCATTCACAGAATTCTTCTCCATTCCGTTTGTGGCCGAGTGGCTAAAGCATCAGTAAGTACCGACACCAAGCTTCAAATAATTTATTCCTAATTTTAAGAATGATTTAATGATAGCTTTCTCCAATCTAAGAGAGCTAATTCATTCAGTCCACCCAGGATCCCAGGTCAGTTATATTTGTGTCTCTTGTCTCTGTGGTGATTTTCAGTCTAGGGGAGTGCATTGTATCTCTGCAGTGATTATTCCAGAAGGACTTCAGAAATAAAGCTTTTAAACATTTCTGTCCTAGGTAATTGATCTCCTCTCTCTTTCTCCTCCTTTCTGTCTCTCTGTGCCCCCTGCCTCTCTCTTTGGAGGTCATTATGCCTCAGGAAATACTCCTATCTTTCTAAATACTCGTTTTTAGCTATATTAGTAATTCATGCATCAGTTCTCCATTTAAAATATTTGACTGTCATTCTACTCTGAATCTTCTCTCCTCACGGAGGTAATTAGCTTGGTATGGAGAATATCCTTCCAGATCTCTTAAAATTAATTGTCTAACTCTGTAAGATTAGTTTATATCCATATAAAATTAGTAATAATACTTTATGTGACCTGTTTTTCATCAGTGATGTAGCAGTGGTGATGATGACAACAGCTAGTGTTTATTGAGTACCTGTATCATTTATTGAGTGCCTGTGCATTTAACATGAATGAGCTAATTTAACCCTCCTAACAAGACTGTGACAGTTCCATTCTATAGGAGAGGAATTCTGTGTATCATTCTGTGACTTGCTTTTATTGAGGTCAAATACATACTTCTGAGATCTAGTCATATTGATTTGATTCTATCTAATTCATGCCTTTTGATGGCTTTGTAGCATATCTCATTTCTGGATATGCATACTTTATTTGTCCAAGAAAAAATTTATTGAGTACCTATTCTGTGCCAAACATCATTCTTGGTGCTGGAGATAGAGCAGTAAACAAGGTAGCCAGATAACCCTGCCTTCATGGAGCTTATATTCTTGTGTGGATGAGACACAGTAAGCAAATAAATAAGTGCTTTAGGGAAAAATGAAGGAGCCCTGGTGGCACAGGGTTAAGTGCTCAGCTGCTAACCGAAAGGTCAGTGGTTAGAACCCACCAGCTGCTTCACGGAAGAAAGATGTGGCAGTCTGCTTCCATAAAGATTACAGCTTTGAAAGCCCTATGGGGCTGTTCTACTCTTTGGTATATGATCGCTTTGTGTTGGAATTGACTTAATGGCAACACTTTAATTTTTGTTTTTTTTTTTTTGTTTTTTTTGATATGGAAAAATAAAGCAGGAGGAGGGGAATACAGAGTATTGAGGGAGCTCAATTGTACATAGATGGTCAAGAAAGACCTCACTAGAAGGTGACTTTCAAGCAGTGCTCCACTATTTTAAGCCATAATGGAAGAAAAGGTAACTTAATTTAGAGAAAATAATATATATTTAGCCTATTGCTTTGAAAATGTTTCCCTGCCAGCCCTTTGCAAGAACAATGTCAGGAAAGTGAAGCACCAGGAAATCGGGTGAGGATTTCAAAACCACATATTAAACAGAGTGGAGACCTTAAATAAGACCCTTAGTACTGAAATGCCATATATTTTGCATAAATCTACCCTTTTTGAGAGTGCATTGTTAAATAGTTTCTTGGCTAGGTTTTGCAATTTTGAGAACTAAACCCCCCACATATTATTAGGTTTTTTTGTTTTCCCATCTGAGAATAACTACACATTAAAAGGAGAAGGACATTGGAAAACCTTATATTTTATTGAGCTGCTAAACCTGTGCCTAGTTTTGTCCACCATGAAACAGAAGGCCCCACAATTTATAGACCATAAATGACTAGTAAATGAGAGATTTGTATATATTTTCCTAAGACAAGGTTTTATTGGTGTCATTTTCCAAGTTGCTGCTTTGCCTTGAAAATGAAACATGTTTTCCCACTCGTAATAACCAGGTGAGGTTGGTCTTAGGCAAATATGGTGGCTGTTGGGGGCAAGAGCCTGGTGGTGGGCATTTTGAGCAGGACTTAAAGGTGCAAGTTGGAGGAAGATAGGCTGTAAGGGAGAGACTCTGTAAGGGTTCTTTAAAGAAAGTAAAATATGAACTAGTACTTCCCAGCAGTATTGGATTGTGGTTAAGAGCATGTGCTTCGGGGACAGTTTTCAAGTTTCCACTCCACCACTTACTAGCCATATGGCCTTGGGTAAATGTCTTAGTTATCTATGGCTATGTAACAAATTGCTCTAAAACTTAGTAGCTTAAAACAATAAATATTTATTATCTCACAATTTCAGCGGGTGAGGATTTTGGTAGCAGCTTAGTTTGGTGGTTCTGATTCAGGGTCTCTCATGAGGTTGTCATCAGCATGTAGCCAGGGCCACAGTCAGCTGAAGGCTTGACTGAGGCTGGAGAATCCTCTTCCAAGATGGCTCACTCTCATAGTGCTGGTTGTTTTTCCCCACGTGGGCCTGGAAACCTCAGTGTTCCCCTATACGGGCTTGGAAACCTCAGTTTTTCCCCACATGGACCCAGAGACCTCAGTTTTTCTCTGACTGGGCCTGGAGACTGCAGTTTTTCCCCATCTGGGCCCAGAGACCTCAGTTTTTCCCTGTCGGGGCCAGGAGACCTCAGTTTTTCCCCATCTGGGCCTGGAAACCACAGTTTTTCCCTGTCTGGGCCTGTCTGTGGGATGCTTGAATGTCTTCCTGACATGCTGACTGGCCTCTTGTCAGAGTGAGAGACTCAAGAGAGTGCAAGGAGGAGGCCACAATGCCTTTCATGACCTAGGCTTAGAAGTCAAACACCCCCACTTCCACCACAGTCTGTTAGTTAGAAGCAAGTCACTAAGTACAGCCCAATTACCACATTCAGGGGGAGGCTCCACCTTTTGAAGGGAGGAAAAAAAAAAAAAAACAATTGCCCTGGAGTTGACTGCAACTCATGGTGACTTCATTTGTGTCAGAGTAGAACTGTGCTCTATAGGGTTTTCAATAGCTGATTTTTAAGAAGTAGATCACCAGGGCTTCCGTTTGATGCGCCTCCAGGTGGACTCAGACTTCCAGTCTTTCAGTTAGCAGCCCAGTGCATTAACTATTTGCACCACCGAAGGACTCCTTGAAGGGAGGAGTACCAAAAAATTTGTGGACATGTTTTAGAAGCATCACAGCAGTTCACTCTCTAAGGCTGTTTCCTCATTAGTCAAATGGGTTTGTTAGGAAAATGCAGTGAAATGATGAACCTACAAATGGGATCATGAGCAGACCCAAAACGTATTGAGAGTTAAATAAATGGTGAATAACGGCTACTGTCATTGAAGTGGACTTAGGAAGAGAGAGATCGGGCAAAAAGGGCATTCCAGGCCAAAGGCACAAAGGTGGGAGAAGTCAGGGCATGGTCCAAGCACAGTGAGAAAACCAGTGTAACTAGCTTATAGAGCCTGTGATTATATAGGGATAGGATGGCAAAAAAGGCTGGAAGGAAGTTAAAGGATGGATTATGGTTTTCAGTAAAAAGATGACGTTTAGGTATTATTCCATTAGCAGAGAGCGTTCCAAGGCTTTTGAGCAGAGGTGTAAAGTGATCAGACTGTGTTTTAGCAAGGTAACTCCTGGGGCAGTGTAGGGGATATATGAGTTTGGGGAGATCCTGGGGTCAGGATACTGGTACTGAGGTGATGGTAACAGCCCTGAAGAAAGGTATCTTGAGCTAGGGCACTGGGAGTAGACAAAGGACACCAGATGGGTTTAGGAGTAAGGAGGGGTGTACCTGAGAGGGTGAGATTTTCTACCGAGCAAATGGTAGGCCCATAATGGAAGAGAGATACCTAGCTGGAAAATCAGGTTTAAGGATGCCTATTCCTATCTGGGGCACATTGAGATTGAGGTGCCTCTAGGACATCCATATTGGAAACATTGGCCTGCCCCTTAGAAATGGAGTCTGGAGAGAGACATTTATTTGGGAATCTTGAGATCCCCATGTCAAATATGTGGACTGAGCCAGGATGGGCAAGGGCTAAGTTTGGGGGCCCCCAGAGTTGGCTCCAGTAATTCTATGAAGGAGGCACTTACTTGAAGTTATGTGGTCAACAGTGGTGACCACAGCTGGTCTTGCACTTGAGTTTGCAAAGCAAGCCAGTGTTTCAACTTACAGTCTCTGTTGATTTGCCGTGGCTGGTGGGGAGACAGTTGGAGTAATGGAGACTATGGTCAGACTGAAGGCCTCCTCCTAGGGATCCCCTACATTTTAAAATGGAATTTTGGGCTTTGTAAAAATGATACATGCTCACTGAAAAAATTCAAACCATACAGAAAAAAAGAAAAAGGCATAAATCACCTAAGAGGTTATCTCCCACGTAGAACCATTGTTGACATTTTAGTGAACTTCTTTTCGGATACTTCTCTATGCATGTATACACACATATAGATATAAGAAGATGTATATTTATTTCTCTGAGGGAGACCTAAGAGTGAGAGAAAATTTGAGGCAGAGGGAAGAAAAGTTGAGAAAGTTAATGGTAAGTACTATGATTCTGCTCAGTTATGTAGGTGTGATGGCATCTAATGAGAGGGAGGCCGAGGCAGGTTCTGGAATTTAGGGGCAGGGGAGGGGAGCTGCAGCAGCTGCTGTGGTGAAACCGACAGGGAATCAGCTTGGGATAAATAGGGATGGCCCAGCTGATGGCCTGCATTGTGGTGCATATAAACGCCTGCTTAGTGATTGTCTCCAGCAAACCCTCTGCAACCCTGGCCAAGTCAATTGAGTAAAAGGTCTAGACTGGACCCCAGGACTCCATTGTTAGCTTTTCTAAATACAATATCTTACATTTTTCTCATAAAGTACCATAGTCCCTGTCTTAGTTATCTGCTGCTGCTGTAACAGAAACACCACAAGTGGGTGGCTTTAACAAACACATTTTCTCACAGTTTAGGAGGCTAGAAGTCTGAATTCAGAGTGCCGGCTCTAGGGGGAGGCTCTCTCTGACAGCTCTGGAGGAAGGTCCTGGTCTCTTTTCAGGTTCTGTTACCTGGTTCCTTGAAGA